ATGCCTGTTTGGATTGGACAGGTTAAGGCTACATTTTTTCTTGGATCTCAGAATGATCTTTATTTTCTAGGTTGAGAGAGATAGAAGAGAGGTTACATGGGTTAAAGGCATCCACCATATCAAAACCACCTGTCTTAAAATTTAAGGTATGTATGTCAAGAGGTTTTTACTGAATATTATACCTGCTGTAAAAATACATCTGTGATATGAGTTATTCTACTTATATTTTTTTTTTTGCCGTGTCCCTAGACACGATGTTGGTAGAATTATTTTGATGTATTGGTTGAAGCGTGTGTACGTGTGTGTGAACATGTTACTGTATTCATATATTACTGTTTATTATGAATATATATGTAAATATATAAACCTGTATATAGGTTGTTAATATATTACACACACACACATACAACTATGTGGGAAGGTAAAAACTGTTTGGCAAATTGCATTAATCACCTATCTTAAACCATTTCACTTCTACTTTGTTGACTAATCCATTTTCCTTGGGGACTACTGCTAACATGTCACATCTCTCAGCAAATTTGATTGAATTTCCTCCAGCAGTGGATTTTCCTTCCAAATTACACCGGTTTGACAGTTAGCACAAGTTACTTTTAGTCTCATGAAATAGCTTGCTTGCTAATCAGCTGTATAAGTTGCTACAATTTCATGTCTTTAGGAAAAGGCATTTTCTAGCTTCTTGGTGGGATGTGCAACACTTTCTAGTTGCTTGACTATATCCTGAAATATTAAACCGTAAAAAATGTGACATGATAGATGAGAAGAAAATAGATTATTGTTTCTTAACTGGCCATTTTTCTTTCCTTCTGGGTTCAGAAGGACTCCTAGAAGCCAAGGTCAATCTTGAGCCATAAAAAAGAGGAAACTAAGCATAATTCAATTTGTCATAGCCTTCTCCTTTTCATCACTGCTTGAAAGCATCGTGCTATTATCTCTACCATCAAGGAAGCTGGAGTCAGGCTGATACTCCTCCAGCTCTGTGAAAGATTACTCTTCACTCAGTTGTGTTTAAACCAAAGATTTTTTTGAAGAGATGCTTTTTAGAGGGAGCAGGAAAGGAGGGGAAAAGAAAGGGGGAAGAAAAGAGGACTGTATCAATCCAAATTATTGCTAGGTAAATTTCCATTGCAGTACATCCTTTTTCTTACCCTTACTGATAGGAAGATGTTTTGTTTCTGTGAAGCTTTAAACTAGTGACTCCCATTGCTTGAATACCATGCCTGAGACAGAGCTGCAGGGGAAGAGGGAGGCTTTCCATGGACGTGATGGCAAAGTGCTTCTGCCAAGGGAGGATTTCAGCCGGATGTCGTTGAAAGATGATTGCTCATCAGCAAGCCAGTCCAGCTTACTGAGGCTGACTAGCTTGTTGAAAGAGAACTAACTGCTTTGTAGGTACCAACTACCAGCAGCTTGGCTCTTCATGGCAGACCAGAGCTCTGGTTTGGTCATGAGTTGCTAGTAACTACAAGCGCTTGATCCACAAATTACTTCGGTCTGTGTGATGCAGGAGACTGGAGTCTTTTGGTCACTGATCTCCTTAGGCTGTATTACGTGATGAAATGGGCATGTACAGCTGAAAAGAAAAAGGCTAGCTGCTGTCAATATGTTGCCTCCTTTATGGATTGAAACAAATTAAGCTTCCCAGGATGAGAGAAAGTCACTAGTCCTACATTAAGCAGAGTTAAGCTTGCTTGATGTTGAGCAAGCACGAAGGTAGCTTTTGGCAAGACAAGTGTAAGAATAAATACAGCAGCTAACTTGGCTGGTATTTAATATTAAAGGAAATGATCTGTGTTTAACTGATCCATTGGGGAGAAAAAAAACCCTTGAAGATATGGAGTGTCTTGTACTCTAATAATGTATTGGACAAGCCACCAGAATGAGAACTTGAGGATGAGGTATCTTTATGGCTCTCTCTCCTCTATTTCTCCTCAGATGGCACAATTGAATAAACTGCTAAATCATTAGGACCTGCGCAGGTTAAAAGCAAAGCCAACACCCCATTGCAAATGTAAAGCATAGAATCGCAGCCTTCTCCCCACCAGCTTCATAAGAGGAATCGAAGTTAAAGGCTAAAGGGGCTGAAGAACATGAAAACATGGGGAATGGTGCAATACCTACCTCTTTATGACTCTGTGGTGCATGAAAATAACCGTGTTGTAGGATGATTTTCAATCACAGTAGCGAAGAGGAGGGCAGGACGTACCTCAGTTGCTCCCTAGTACTGAGATGGAAATTAATTTGAATCTGGACTAGTCAATGTGCTGTCCCAAAGTGCTTCAGGATTCCTCATTCGCCCAGGGTTACAGAAACTCTTCTGACATCATCATCTGACAGTGGTGTCAACGTTGGTAACAACTATCACAAATTATTTATAAGATACTAGTGATTTACCACAGGTGCAAGAATTATGAGAGCTTAATGGGATGCTGACGTGCAGCCTTATCTGAGAGGAGGAAGCCTTTAGACTGAATGCAGAAAGGTGCCGTAGTAGCTCAACACACAACCGCCCAGTTAAATCCCCCATGTAATACTGGTCTGAGTCTCTGTTCCCTTTGTCTGCTAAGGCTGCAGAACGTTCCTGGGTGCAGGAACGGGTAGAGGCTGCTGCAGAGGTCTGTATTTCCTCACTCTGGGAGGATGCTTGAGATCCTCCAGGCTGAAAGGCAGCACAGAAACATAAATTGTAATCGCCTCCTGGGTCTTCTGTTTTAACACCACCACTAAACACATTCATTTGTCCCCCACACTTCCCTGTGCACGAAGGAGCTGTGCTGCCTCACTTCTGTTGGCTCGTTCAGCTTTTTTTTTTTTTTAAAATTCTGAAAATACTGCAGTCTTAAGTTGAATGGATGACTATTTGGCTCAGCTTCTGCTTAAAATACAAATAAATTCATTAAGTCTTCTGTTCATGAATCATACCCAGGAGAGGAGTGCTATCCTGAAAGGTCATGTTCTTAAACATTTCTTCTCTGTTGTTAAACATTTACAGGAGTATATGTGAAGTGCCCCACTCCTGCTTCTAGGAGAAACACCAAAATTAATACAAGTTTTCTAGAAAGATTTTAGTCCTCTATTCCCAGTAGGTTTCATGGCATGGCAGTCTTCTCTTCATGGCATGGCAGTTTTCTCTTCAGCCACTTTGCAACAGCGCTGAGAGTCTCATGGCTGCAATTTAAAGGACTTTATTTTTTAAAGACTTACTTTTGATTTTTAGTGTTCACTGCTTTGGTCTGGTGCCACTCATGAAAGTACCCACCAATTGGTACTTTGTCTTTGTAAGCATTTCCAGAGCTGGAAGACCACGTTGAAAGGCTTGCGCTTGTAAGAAAACACATAGCAAAGAACAGTGCCCTCCAAGAAGAAAGCATCTGTCTGTGGACACTGTTAATCCTGTGTTTATTAATAGAAACAATGGAACAAAAGCCATGCACCACGTAACCACTGCAACTATTTACCTTTTGAGATTTTTGTCTGTAGTGGCCTAAGGTGAATTCATGAAAACATCTTTTAAGCATCTGCTGGCAAGTGTAAGCTGGCAGTCACTTTCTGATTTCTTTCTAAAGCAGAAAGACTGCAATTGTGTACTCCAGGCGCTCAATACAGGAATGTCAGATGGACAGGGTTAAAGGTTACTTATTCAGTTTAAAGGATTGCACTGTTAATATCTGTTTCTATTGTATTTGAAGATCAGAAAGCTTTTTGTCCAAACTGCAAAAATGTAAGGGTCTCTGTAAAGCTCGAGTATAAGAAAGGAGAGCAGCTTTGCACTAGACTGGAGTAACAGTATAGGTGACAGAGCAGTGCTTTGCAGCATATGACATTGAATAGCTTTGCTGAAGACCTAGATTTTTTTTTTTTTCCATTGAATTGGGACTTGCGCATTCTTTTGGAAGGAAGAGGTGGGGTGCCAGTGCCAAGTCAGAGGAGGAGGAATGTTTTGTGCAGCGTTGGAATCTGATAGATGAAACGCACCATTATTTCTACGCCCTCGCTCCATGTGCTGACATATAGTGAAGGCACATGGGAATCCAAGCATCCTCCACATGCACTTAGCAAGAATGCAGCAATTTCTCTTGCTGGTTAAGTAGCAGCGCACTAGGAGTTGCTCAGTTGTAGCGCCCTGCAAACCGGGCACTACTATTGGGCAAGTTGCAGTGAAGGTCTGATAATGGTAAAATTAATTTTTCTTATAAGAAAATATTCTAAAGGTTAAAAAGTAATTTTGACTTATGAAAATATTTTTGACTACAGAGTTTTACATTTGATGTTTCTAGGAGACGATGTCTGAGGATTGGTAATGGGATACGAAGCCATTCACCTCTAGGTCACTGTTGAATCCCGGCCCAGGTTGGTAGTGACCAAAAGTCGTTACCACTGATGCATGTTCAGTGACCTTTGTCAGATGGGTTAGCAGCTGCAGTTCAGGTTTACTCGGTCGCCTCCCCGTGTCGGAGGCAGTCCTTTTAGAGCAAAGTCATGGTAGCTTTGGATGGCATGAGAGTAGCCCGCAGAGTCGCTCAGTGTACCGTACCTGTCCTGGATAGCGGTTCCTAACGTGTGACGCGGTGGCACTTTTGACAAGCAACGTCCTGTTCGCTTAACACTAGGTGTTTTAAAGAGGGTGTGCATAACACCAGCCTGTATGTGTGCGTGACTACGGTGAGTATTCTCCAGGTTGTCTTAATACCCAGTGTAGCTTGCGTTTCTACTTCATCAGTGGGTGTGTGTAGCAAAACCAATCATGGAGTACTTGGTTAGGGTAAGATTAAGGAGCTGTGGTAAGCTTTGGGAAGTTTCATGAGAAATCCAACTTCAATCTTGTGAAACTCATCACATTTCCTTAGTGTCTTCCAAATTCTTCTCACTCCAGCTTTTCCAGTGTTGGTAGACCTCTTTCAGTTCAAATACCTGACTTGTTTTTCAGTTTTCCAACTATGTAGCACCACAACATGCAACTCTTCTCACAGCAAAGGGAAATGGGAAACTTAACCTTCATGTTATAGTATGTGTATTACAGTCGTCTTCCCCCTTTTGACTTACTAATACTATACATGTCCCTCAGTTGAAACTGAGAAATCAATTGAAAGAGAGAAATCAAATCCATCCAAATGTTAGAAAGCATTATTTCCATCCTTATTAATGTGGATGAAATCTCTCCTTAGGTTGAGAATTTCTTCTGTATGGGATCTCCATTAGCAGTGTTTTTGGCATTGCGTGGCATCCGTCCGGGAAACAGCGGTAGTCAAGATCATATTCTGCCCAGAACAATTTGTAACCGCTTACTAAATATTTTTCATCCAACAGATCCAGTGGTGAGTTTTAACTGCAGTTGCAAGCTTTTACCTTGACTATTTTTAAGCATCAGCTGTGTGATAATGTGTGATCTTCAAAGCGTGTGAATCAACGCAAGTGTGTTCCAGCGCAGAACTATTTGTTGATGATTATTGTACAATGTCTTGGTTTTTGTAAATGTAGAATAACAGTTTCTACAAATAATTGCTTTAAATACCATATACTTTGCTTCTCCTTTCATATTAATAAGCGTAAAATTCGAGATTACTCTGCTTTTTTTTTTTTGCAAAGGCATAAGAAATAATCCTTCTCTAGTCACGTTCCAACTTGTGTTTGACTTGCTGACTTCCATTAAACATCATCTGTCCAAAGACACTACTGCTGTTAAAAAAGGCTTCACAAGCAGCTTACAAGATACTGTAGAAAAACAAAGACACTGTTTTTTCCCCAAGGGCTCGAGTAACAGATTGTTAGAGAGTGGGATAGTATTTGGGAGGGTGGTTTCGGTATAGGTTTGCCCTGTCCTTATACTCTTCCATAGGCAGCCAGTGTTTGCTGTTATCAAAGGCAGGATGCTGGACCTTTGATCTGCATCACCTTGGCAACTTCTTTGATGCAAGCTTGATTTGGGATTTCATGCTTCCTGTAGAACGGTCATTTGGGGATACTTTTGTGTTTAGACTTCAATCCAAACACACTGGTTCTGTTCATCTCAAGATCTTGTTCAGCTCCAGCTACTCCAAAACCAGAATTTTTGTGGGACATTTAGGACGACTGATCAGGCTGCTATCTGTGGTCCCACTCCACAAATAGTAACTTTATTTAGGCTTAAGATGAAGAAGTGCAGAATGCTTTTCTGCATCTAAGTAAACAAAGAAAAATAAAGAATCAATAGAAAATTATTTTAATAAGCCCACCAATTCATGGTTTGCACAGGGGTCAATGAAGAGCCATCAAACAAAATGTTTACGTAGCCAGTTCCTCCCTCTCTGTTGTATTGTGCAGAATCAGTTTAACTGTCTGTCAATTTGCTCTGTCAGTGCATAACAACAACATCTGTTAATAGTAACTTGTGTGTTGGTAACAACGCGTAGTAGAAGTGTTGCAGAGAAATGCGCAAATGTGCATGCACAAGCAACTAGGCAGCTAATATATCTTCTAGGCTTCCCTTGTTGCAGATATTATGGATTTGAGGTTGGAGAGGACTCTGTATGGGAAGGGAATGTGATTTTTCAGTTTTGAAACTCAGGATTTTCTTTTCTGAATTGCTCTTGCAGGCCTATAGATTAGAACCTTTAATTCTGAAACACTACAGCAACATTTCGCCTGTCCAGATCCACTGGTACAACACTGCAAACCCTCTACCTTATGAGCACATGAAGCCAAGTTTTCTCAACCCAACAAAAGAACCTACCTCAGTTACTGACAGCGAAAGTGTTTCAACTGTACCGAGCCCAACTACTTCACCAGTCATGGTTCGACGCCACTACGGGGAGTCTATAACAAACATAGGCAAAGCGAGTATATTAGGTAATTGTTCTTTATGTCCTTTTTTTTTTTTTTTTTTAATACAGGACCTTCTTGTAGAGCTTCACCGTTTGAGGTGCAACCATAAGCAAGTTATTCCTGGCTGTTTCAGTTTGTTCTATATAGGTGTATGGCTTGTTTTAATCCCAACTGACATTTACTTTGAAGAAAAGACAGTTTACGTACACTGGAGTCAAATCTTGCAGGGAGAGGATGTGGGTGAGGGAGTTTATGCTATGGTTGCCTTATTGTTGTCTGCCTTATTGAAGTAACATCCTGGTGATTTAATAGTTTCCACTCGACTTCATGGGTAAAAAAATAAATTAAAGCTTGTTTTGTGACTATGTTTTCTGGTATTGGCAAATAGGAGAAAAATCACTCTATGAAAGCTATTACAGTTCCATTTAACTCATGATTTTACAATAGGAAATTCAGGCGGTTTTCATATGAAGTCTGTCCCCTTCCGGCTTTCTGGGTTAAAATAAGCCCTGGTTTAACTGAGTTCAAATTCACTTTCACTGGCGCTTACATTTGAGCATGCACTTGCAGTTTTTGTTGACTCAGGGCTTTCCTTTAGCTCTCTATGTGGGATCTGGAAGAAGGCTAATGTGACCTAGTGCCAGGAATCTTCCCAATCAAATAAGTAAAGCATATAAAAACAGTTTAGTCCTTAAGTGGGAATAGGTGGTATTTCAAAGCTTTTTGCCATGTTACTATACTAACTTTAATGTCATGTCCATAAGGTGGCAGCAAAGTCGGGAGAAAACATCACAGATCTGTTCTTAACTTTTACACCCCTCTTCCTCAGCCACCAAAACAGTCCTTTTCAAGGATGTTATAGCATTTCTAAATGTCTGTAAGGGTTATGCCAACGTAAGGACCCTCAATGGGAGGAGTGTCTTAAATGTCCTGGTGGGATTCTTATGTGCAGAAGGAACTCACATTGTTGTAAAGCCTTTTGGTCTTCATCTTAGACTTTTTATGAAAGAGGCATTACAACATACCCTTAAAAGTACCAGATTTCTTGCTGCCAAAGTGTTCTCATGTGTTTCTGTTCCCCTAACTGCAGTTTCCAAATTACAGCCTTTGCTTGTACGCTAGATTGGTCTCATGATAAAGAGCGTACACTTAAGTCAGATAAGCTGTTCCCACCCTAGAAAAGCATGAATAGTGTTTTCCTTCGTCCGTCACTCAACTCTAATTGATGGGTGCTACAGTGACTTGAATTTGCAGTTTGATTTAGCTGTCCTTGTGCTTCTTTTTTTTTTTTCTTTTTTTTTTTTTCCCCTCCACGCTGAATGCAGGAGCTGCGAGTATTGGGAAGGGCCTCGGCGGGATGCTTTTTTCGAGATTTGGGCGATCTAGTACAACCACGCCACAGACGCTGGAGACGGGAAAAGATGGAGCCGAGGGGGACGACAAGAAGGCCCCAGCTGTTGGGACGCCGCCTTTCCCGCACAGCAGCTCGAGCTTTCTCGAACCCACAGGTTAGTGACGAGCCCGCCGTACGAACCCCGTGGAAACAAGACCTTCAGTGGGCTGCACATGTATGCTGTGGGAGGCTGGAAATACCACAACAACATATGCCACTCTTTGATTATGTTGGTTTGCGCTAAAGTGATAAATGTTGAATCCATTCCCGCTTTTTTAATCTCTTAAGACTGTCCGCGGCCTGACTTGTCGTTGTCCCTTTTATCCCTTTTTCTTTTAAAGGAGGTTTATCTGTATACGTGTTTGTACCTACACGTACACCACTCACACATATACGTGCATGTTAATTACAAAGACAAAACACACCTCAAAAGAATGGATGGAGATTTATTCTAAAGTGTATGCAGAGATGTTAAGCGCGCTGTGGGCAGACATTCATCTTTTTAATCCTCAAAAAAGATCTCTTGCCTAACGAGATCTGCATCTCAGTAGTTCCTAGACTCCCACTAGGAAAAGCAATATAAATTGCTGCAGAGAATTCCACTCCCCATTTATCATAAAATGGACTTACTTAAATTTCCCCATACATTTGCGATTCTGAAGCAATCTGGATTTAAAGGCACGTATGACTGGAAAAAGAAGCTGCTCTTGTCCTGATCTGAACTGCCCAGAAAAGAAAGTGCAATTTGAGCAGCTGGTTTTTTGGAAAAGCATAGGTACTTCCTTCACAGAAATTCCTACTTGATTTTCTTTCTAAACTTCTCATTGGCACTGTTGCAAGGTGGGGGTTTTTGCAATCTAAGGAGTCACAAGTATGTTGTATCTTCTGATAGCGTTCACATGATACGTTGCTGTCCGCTCATCACTGCTGATGTCAACAGATAACCTGTCTGAGGCAGTGTTTGAGGACAGAGACTTTGTTTTAAACTTGAGGCAAACAGCGTGGCGTGGCAGCCAATATTGCGGAGCTGCCGATGAGGTCCTTTCGGGGTGGTTTGGCACGTCAAGGGCCTTCTGCACGATTCCTGCATCCCTCTCCGCTGAAAGCCCGTCCCTGCTCCATAGAATCATAGACTCATAGAATCGTTTAGGTTGGAAAAGACCTTTAAGATCATCCAGTCCAACCATTAACCTACACTACCAAGTCTACTCTAAACCAATCAAGGCTTAAACTAGACTAAACCATGTCCCAAAGTGCCACGTCTGCCCGTTTTTTGAACACTTCCAGGGATGGTGACTCCACCACCTCTCTGGGCAGCCTGGTCCAATTCTTGACCACCCTTTCCGTAAAGAAATTTTTCCTAATTTCCAACCTAAACCTCCCCTGGCGCAGCTTAAGCCCATTTCCTCTCGTCCTGTCGCTAACTACATGGGAGAAGAGACCAACACCCCCCTCCCTGCCCCCTCCTGTCAGGCAGTTGTAGGGAGCAATAAGGTCTCCCCTCAGCCTCCTCTTCTCCAGGCTGAACACCCCCAGCTCCCTCAGCCGCTCCCCACCAGCCCTGTGCTCCAGACCCTGCCCCAGCTCCGCTGCCCTTCTCTGGACACGCCCCAGCACCCCAATGTCCTTCTTGTGCTGAGGGGCCCAAAATGGACACAGCATTCCAGGTGCGGCCTCCCCAGCGCCGAGCGCAGGGGGACGATCCCTGCCCTGCTCCTGCTGGGAGAACGTGGAGCGGGGGCCAGCGAGGCTGCGAGCTGAATGATGCAATCCGCCGCCAAAGCGTTTGCTTCTGAGAGGGACGGCCGCACGGCTGGCGGTGGGGCTTGGCTGCCTCCCAAGCTGCTGTGACGGCCTCTCGTCAGAGGGAGACGGAGTCGTTCGGGGCGTCCTTCCTGCAGAGCGGCTGGGGTTTGAGTATTCCGCGTCGCAGTGGAAATGACTGCGGTTGTCTCCTGGTGCTCGAAGGCTCCGGCTCCCGCTCCTCGCTGCGTGCGCACAGCGGTGCGGTGCTCCTGTGAAAAGACGAAGGCGTGTCGTCCCCCGAGCGCTGCCGTGCCGTGACTGCCGGGGCAGCGCTTGTGCGATGCTCCCTTTATGCCCTCTTTGAGCCAAGAATTAAAATTCCTTGAAACTGGCCTTGATAAATGGCTGCATTTTTTACTCAATATGGGGTTTTGGCCTTTGTAGCTAAGCAGGCTTTTAGTTTTGTCCTTTTTATTCCATTGCTCCTTGTAGAGGTTTTCTGACCGCTGAAGTGCCTTAACAATAGGTTAGCCATTGGCCCAGTTAAACATGCAGGGAAAATTGCTTTGAATGTGGTATTAATCAAAGCAGCCATTGACATGAAAGGATAACTGCTGAAATATATTTGGAATAATCTGGAAATGAAAAGGGCTAGTGCTGTGTAGGGACGGCTGGTTTTCCGAAAGGGCTTGTAATACTGGGTGTAGTCTCCTTGTATAGCTGCTAAAGATGCAAGAAGTCCATTTATTTCAGTAAGTTCTGAGCATCCACCTTCTGAAAGTCAATGTTTCCTGATGGGCCCTCAACATTTGCTGGATACTTCTCTGTAGTTACCATAAGGAGCATAAATAAGTGTATTTATATAGTTACTATAAGGAAAACAGCTGCTTAAAAAAATGCCAGCTTTTTCCAAGCTTTAGGTTTAGTTTCTTTTTTTTTTTTTCCCCTGAACTAAGCACCACTCTTAGGTCAGGTTTGTGCTAAATGGATGTGCATAAAAATGTACGTACATATTATTAAAAATCACAGTTGACTTAGGAGACTGGTTAAATGCAAACACAGCGATCCAATGTGCGTTTTATGTATGTACAGCGAGTAGAACCAGAACCCAAAGCCGATGGAAAACCACGCCGGTGTTTCTTCTTCTGCTGACATACAATTCTAACGACGTCTTTGTTCTTGTTTAATTTCTAGTGGAACTGGAGCACAGGATTGATTTCGAGCTCAGGGAAGGTCTCGTGGAGAGCAGATACTGGTCGGCGGTCACGTCACACACTGCCTATTGGTCATCTCTGGATATTGCTCTTTTCCTTCTAACCTTCATGTGCAAACACGACCAAGAAGATACTGACAAGTCCAATTTAGACACTATTTGAATTTTTGACTGGGGATGGGGCGGGATGGGAAAGGAAATTTTAAAACGAATGGCACAAAACTGATGTTTTACTGTTGAACTGCAGTATATATGGCATGGAGGTTTCAGGTTTAAGTGCATGTCTGGATTTTTTCCTATTTCTAAAGAGCAAAAATTATTTGTATTTAAAAGCACTTTACAGTTTTAAACATTTTGCAGTGCTTAATTAGACCCGAAATGATTCCAAATTCTTGTTAACTTTGACTGTATAAAAAGCCAATACAACGTGCAGCATCCCGTAAGCACGGTTGTGCAGTGTGCTTGGGTGACATACTTGTTAATGACCATAATTGCTGTTTAGTTCATTAAAGTATAAAAGATTAGCTGATTAAAAAAAAAAAAAAACAACCCACTAAATTAATTTCCATTAACAAAAATATATGTTAGATACAAACCTAAAACTGCCATGTTCCGATGTTTTATGTATCAGTAAATAACCAACGGTGGTGTCATTTTTCTAGGACTTTATTCAGCTCCACATCCTATTATCCACAGTACCATTGAAAGACCATTCTGACTGCTGGCTTCTGAGGGCGTATTATACGTGATACATTTAGAAACTAATGCTGAAAAAAAGCATGAAGCAAATATTTGAAATACTGTAATTATAATTTATTATTAGCTCTAATTGTTTCATTTTATTCCAGTGTATAAAACATTACTTTTTTACTGGTTTCTTTTGACATAATTTAAGAACCACATTTATTTTCTACAGTGTTAAGACTTTTTCTCAGAAATACATATCTTTGTACTACTATTCAAATGAATATATGGACACTGTGGCACACTTTAAGTATTTTTTCATTAAAAATAAATATTTGTGGTTTCACACAAATGACATCAGTCACGTTCTTCTCAAAGGTAGGTAACTGGCTTTGCTTTTTAGGTCCCAAGTGTTTCTCAGGCACAGGAAGGTTTTGAGCTCACATTAGACTTGGTTTGCAGAGGATCCAGCTGTCTTCTGCTTACCATTATTAAACGCATATATATGTGCGTGTGCGCGTTTGTATGAAGATGTACGTAGATGTGTATTTACGCACAAGGATCCTGTCAAGAGGAAAGAGAGCAGCATAAAAGAAACTTGGTGAGGCCTAAGAATATCTGAGCTTAGATTAGATTTGTATCTGAAACTAATTCAGGAGAAGTCATGAGAGAAGTGTTGTGATGAAAGGGAATGATCTCCAAATGAAACACGAAAAGGTCATCGCTGAGATTTTAAAACTCCGGAGCAGAAGTGTCAGATATATGGCCTCTGAGCTGCCTCTGGCTGAGCTATTTGTGATCTATGTATGTCTAGAAACTTTTGGTTTTTAAAAAAAAAAAAAAAAAGAGGCTGCCGTGTTGGTGAATAGCGGTGTTCTCAGTGTAAACAGACGTGACAACATCAGCCCACACCAGCAGACAGCCCCAGCAGTTGGCTCGGAGGTGTGGAAACCACCCAGACGTCCCTTTCTGAAATTCTGGGGGAGGAGAGAATATTATTCTCCCAAATAACACTACTTGGGCTGTTGCTTGTTTCCCTAGTCCATGGTGCAATGGGGAAGGAATTGGGAGCTAGGCCTGTATGTTACAGATTTAAGAACAATTATGAAGGGGAAAAAACGATGCAAAGAAAAAGGAAAGAGAGGAGTGGAGGGGAATGGGAAGGGAAGAAGGTGATGGAAAGAGCACGACTATAAATGCAATGAAGCAATAACGAAGCAAGATGTTCAGACAATGTAAAAGACCATGTTTCAGTGTGGATCTCTGAAAAAATCCATCTATCCTCGGTGAATTGTAACTCTCCTGCCTGACGTGTTTACCTTGGTTGATGAACAATTATAAAAAATGAAAATCAACCCTCTAAGAGAAGGAAGCTTGACACCTCTACTCCAGAAAACAGGCTTTTGTTTACATTGCTGGCTTTCCAGATAAGCTGTTTAATCAGCTCTTCCTAATTAGGAGAACTTAAACATAAAAGGAGAATCTCCTTTTATATTTAGAACATGCAAAACGGTTCCAAATGTTGCATGGTTTGTGTTTCAGTACTTTGAGTTGGATCGTGTCACTGCTGCAGTATCCCCTTACCCTACTGGTTCTACACTAGATCTCTTTTTAAACGCTGTAAACAAAAGGGGGTTAATTCCTCTAATTCTTGTGGTCTGTCTAAACTCTGCTGTTGTCCAGAACATGTTTCAGATTTATGGAGTAACTGTTCCCTTCGCATCGGAACATGCTGGTACTTGCCGACTGCTCTCCATATAAGGGATGAGATCCTACTTTTATGTACGTACCCCTTGGTAAATCAGGGAGAAGATAGAGCTGAGAAGTAAACCACGTTGCTGGTAGGAGAAGGGATAATAAGGACCAATACCTGCTCATCACTTTGCATTTTTCCGGAGTTAATGGACGTATGTATGATTCTGTTCTAATTTGTTACTTCATGGGGCATCTACTAATCTCCAAGCTTAATTACAAAGACAAAACACACCTCAAAAGAATAGATGGAGATTTATTCTAAAGTGTATGCAAAGATGTTAAGCGTGCTGTGGGCAGACTTTCATCTTTTTAATCCTCAAAAAAGATCTCATCCTCCTGCAAAGATGAAATACTATTTGATAATTGAATTTTGGAGTTGTTAGAAAAAGGGTCGCCCCATTTCTATTCTGCAGCGTAACAAAGATCCAAGTAGGGTCATGTCTCTGCATGCAAGAGGCTAAATTTCACGCTTAAAACTTTGTGGTCAGATGGTCCGTGGCATAATATAGAGCTGGAATGTCCTGGCTTCCAATTACTGACTTGTTTTCTTCTGCAAGAACAATGTTTAGCTTTATAAGCTGTGTTGACTGGTGGTTTTTCTTGAGAAACCAAGATAAGGGAAATGTACCACGCTGTTGTCGGTCTTCTGACTGATACTGAGCTGTTTTCTGAAACTTGCCCTTGAATACTTTGTCCAAATTTGACGCTTACGGTTTTTTTGCTACAAGGTCATTTTTGCAGATAATCAGCTTTAATTATTTTTTTTCCCCCTCATTTTACTGAATTCCATCCCTTTGCTACTAATTATTCTGTCGTGGTTTTACCACAAACTCCCTTCCCTTGTATATGAGTTCTCTCTGCTTTTATTGCCCGTGTTTCTGAAGTCAGAGGCCCTTTGCTTTATTTTACCGTGACAGTCTAGCTGGCCAAGTTCAGTTACTTTATCTTCTTTCCTAATTAGTATTATTAGGCTGAACTGAAATATGTTTCTTATTCCCGTATATATATATTACGCCTGGTTGGCACCTCTTCCTCCTTCATGGTTTTCTGTTGAGCTGGTGCTCGTTTCCCATGCCGCTTGTCAGTCGAGCTGACTCTGCCCGTAGCTGAATCGGTGGGGATTGATTTTTTTTTCCAAGTTGAGTTCATGAATCACTATGTCAACTGTTTGCAGTTAGATAGTTAATGTATATTTGTGTGCCCTCTGCCCAGCAAGTTTATTTGAAATTCGTCGTTTCCCATTTTTACGTTATTAGCTTGGAGATCAGGTTTCTGCCTCCGCACATCATTTTTCTACTGAAGTTGGACTGCAGGTGATTGACCGTGGTGTTTTGCAGGTCATGTCCCCCGTCTCTGCCATACATCTTCACTGACTGTCAGGGGTTCAGTAAGCTTTTACGCACCGAGACCCGGTAATAGAGTGCCACATGTACTGAGTTACTTTCAGTTTTCCAAGCATTATCTTTCTGGTTGCTCTCCATCTGCAATTGTAGCGACCGCTTTTCATTGCTTCCCCGGAGTCCATGCCTATTGTCTTTGCTGAGCTTGCGAAAAGCTTTAAAATCTTTTTTAAAAATATTACCCCTGTGACAATCCCATTTTCCGGTTTATCGGGTGGACTTCAGCCTGACATTTCTCTTGCATTTCATGCTTGATCTGCATTTAATAATCCTTTTCCACAAAATCAAACTTTTGGGTTAGCTTTTCCCTACATCTTCCATGGGTATTTTTTAGTACACCTTGTCTGTTACCCCTTGTGCTCAAGCCTCTTCTGAAGCCTCTGGTTTCCATTTCTGCTTTGATTTCTGTCCACTGGAATTGAAGCTTGCTTCAAGACTCTGCTTGTTTGAGCATGCCCTGTGCATCCTCAAGACTTAAAGTGGGAACTTTGAAACCCTCTTGAAACCCAAGAGACACGTATTACCGTTGTGATCCCGGAGACTTCTCCTGAAAGCTCAGCAAAGCCCAGCTGGATGTGTTTAGCTTGCTGGATGGGTTTGCATGTTCTCTCTCACTGCGTTTATGTCTTTTCTGGTCACCGCCATCAGTCAGCTTAACTCCGGGACTGAGCATTTTCTGTCATTGTCAATGGGTTTTGGCATGTTAGTGAGCAGTGGGGCTGGCCTCTCCCAAGCCTGGTTCCTTGCTCTTTGGGTTTCTCCTGCATCCCATGAGGCCCATTTGACCCACACTTTGCTATAGATGTCACAATGTTTTGTGTTTCTCTGCATGCCATTGCAGAAGCACTTAAAACCACATGCACAGCCTTTGATACTGACAGTGTGTTGACATGGTGTCCTCTTCCAAGGAATAAGAGGAGGAGACCTAATACATGGAGAGAAATGCCTGGCTATGAAAGTTTGAAATCGCCCCGGAGGTCAGTGCTCTCTGGTCCCATTAGGAAGCAAATTCCGACATCAGCCTTTTCCCCCAAAAATGCCCTGTCCCCCCAGCTGCAGTTGCAGCAGCTCTTGGCTAGCAGGCCTTGGCCAACCCTTCAAGAGTGAAAAGTCAGCGAGTCCCCTGCAAACATGAGATGTCCCAGAAGCAATCCCTTGTGGTTTTGAAATCCTCGCTGATTTATCCAGAGAGAGGGTTTTCATTTGACAATTCTGTGAGCATCTGCTACAAATTAACTTCTCTCTTTGTTTCTTAAATAAAATACCATTTCTTGCAGCTACTCTGCCCGTTCCCTGGTGCCTCATTGATTGTAAGCACGGACATGGGAGAGGTGAAGCGCAAACTTCTCTACAGACTGCAGCCCTGACCAGACCCTGGAGCTCCAAGGAC